CTGTCATCATGGTGATTGGAGTTCCAATTCTGCTTTCGGTTTGACGTGATGACTCTTTGGCTTTCATGTTCATAATGTGGAATGCTTGTTGAAGTGTGCTATTGCGCAAAGTATAGTGTGTGTGTGTGTGTGTGTGTGTGTGTGTGTGTGTGTGTGTGCGTGTGTTATCAAATACTATTTTTTGTGTTTCTTTCAATGATAGTAGAAAATTGTTATGTTTTTTATAAATGTTGCAAGAAATCTGGCATCGAATTGGGAGCAACAATGTGGTTATTGTGGTACATAGTTGTCAAAACTATATGCCTGAGGACAGTTGTGTTTAATGTCATGATTGGCGAATACAGAGGATGTGCCATTCATTATGAATGTTTCACATGGCAAGCAAGGAAAACACCACACAAGTGTCCTAGGTATCGCTTGACTCATTATGGCGACTGTGGCATTTCGTCATCATTCCTGTGAGTTGACAACACACAGGCCATCATGCGGAGTCGTATCCTCTGAGACGCCATCTCTCTCTCTCTCTCTCTCTCTCTCTCTCTGACTGCGCTCCATGTGTGTGTGTGGGTGTGTGTGTGTGTGGGTGTGTGTGGCGTATGTGTGTGTGCGGGTGTGTGGGTGTGAGGGTGTGTGTGTGTGTGTGAGTGTGTGTGTGTGTGTGTGTGTGTGTGTGTGTGGTCAGGAAACAAGGATGTGACACCTTAAAAGAAAAGGTCGCATGGCTCGAAGTAAAAAAAAAAAAAAAAGGCAAAACATTCACCACAATTTCTGATTTTAATTTCAGTTTGAATGTTGTCGTTGTCTTCGAATCTGTGAGCAGTGCACAGCAGCGGTATTGAGTCGACGGGAGGTAGAGGGGGAACGGGGGAGGGGGGAGTGTGAAAGGAACGCATGAATTTGGGACCAAATACGCATCCTCTATCGGCGGTAGGTCTTAACTGACAGTAATTCGTAAGACCTCGCACGTAGCTGCAATGGAAGACGCGAATCACGTGTGAGACTGTGGCCGGCCTTTCATGTCATTGCGGACGATGAACTCGCACCGAGCGCGGGCATGTCCCTCCACTGTGGAAGAGAGGAGCATGACAGAAGAGATAGTTGGGGAGGTCAACGGCGGACCGTCGAATAGTGGTCCCATTGACCTGGTCAGTGGGGAAAGCCAGGAGGTTGAGCCCTCTCCTGATGTACAAGCGGACTGCGCATCCGAAGAACAGCAAGAAGAACACGCAGAGGCATTCGACAGCTCCCGCAAACTAGCGGCATTGATTTTCTCGTGTAGGGGCGGTGTGGGCATGTCCCAAACTGACGTTGACTGTCTGTTGTCACTCCTAAAAAATCCTAGATTTGACCCCAGADATATCGCATTTCGTAACAGTCGTGAGTGTTTGACATGGGCAGGCCGCCAGACTGAAGCTGCAGGGTGGCAAAAGAAGAATCTACGCAGTGATGATTGGCCCGAAGAAGCGCATGTCATTCTGTGGTACCGCGGCTGGCGCACAACGTTCGCTGACCTCGTGCGTGCTGCACTGAACAACGTTGAAACGGTGTCTTGCCTCGAAATACAACATCCCGGGGAGGACATCCAAATTTGCGACTCTCGCACGGGGCAGTTGAGTCACCATGTCCAAACTGTTATCAGAGCGGACAAGGGTGTGGACACGAATGGTAGAACACGTTATGTCATCCCTCTGTCTCTGTATTCAGACAAGACTCATGTAGACGGTCGTCAAAAGCAGACARCGTATCCTCTGATGATGTCAATCGCCCATCGCCCATCAGATGTCACACTGCTTGCGTATCTTCCAGTGCTTCAACACCGGCCACGTGACAAGGGCTGGGGTCCACACTCCACCGCATTTAGAAAACGAAAAACTGTGATATTGCATAAAGCGTTGTCAACAGTATTGCAGTCCGCAAAGGAGGCATCCCATGACAGCATGATGGTAACAACGAAGCGGTTCGGTGAGATAACAGTGCACCCTTTCGTCATGAACTACATATAGGACTATCCTGAAAGGTGTGCCCTTGCAACTGTGAAATTCGGTGTTTGTCCAACATGCACAGTGTCCAAAGACGATTTGGATGTCATCGCCGATTTCACCAACTGCAGGAGATCGCAGACGCTAGAGACGCAACTTGCCGCGGACTACTTCAACAGTGGGGACAACGACATTCGTCGTGCTGCTGAGGCACGAATGTCAGAATTGGACATACATAAGCATGTTCAAGAGAACGGCCTTTGGGGATTCTACAGGGGTCCGCATGGTGACGATCCTGAACTACATCACCATCTCGCTTTGCAACCAGACCGTATGCACACCATTGAACACGACATTTTTTTGCATATGATAGATGCATTCAAGGCAGCTGCTTATAAGAAGTTGCCAGATACCGCGCAAAGTGAGATATTGCACGAGATGGATGCGAGGTTGCAGAGCATCAGTGAGAGATCCACACGGACATACCCGCAGCTTGTGTTGCCCGTAGCCACAGGTTGTGATTTCTTTTCAAGGGAAGGACGATTTGAAGCGAAGCAAAATCGGTCTGTTATGACAGTTTGCGCGTTTATTATTTGTGATATCATCCCACGTGCGACATGCAAATCCATTTCCGCTTGTTTCATCAAACTCATGAAAATGTACATACACGTGTTTCGCAAGTCAACCCACACAGCGTCCTCTCTCGATGTTTGTGACACATTGATAGGTGATTTCATAACTAGTATAAAAACGAAGATGGGAAAATATCAAACCTCTGATTGGAAAATTCCGAAGTTGCATGACCTTATGCATTTGAGAACAAGCATAGAGCGATCTGGTGTTCCCGACACGTTCGCAGCTGATGTGTGGGAGCATAATCATCAGAGGTTCTGCAAACAACCATATTTGTCATCAAACACGCGTAAGGCTGCTTCCCAGATGGTGAATCATGTCCGACGCTCATTGGCTTTGCAGGATGAGATGGAGAGAGTGAGAAAACGCAGGAAGAGGTCGGCAGAAAATTGGTCATCCGTGATAGAGTGCATGGCCACCGGAAGTAATACCCTGGTAGCGGGCGACACAGCAACTCTACAACTCCGGTGGTTCCAGATGGACGATGTGCATTTGCCAGGCGTAGAGGGTATGAGCGATGCGGCGTTGAGAATACTTAATGAGCTTCCCCGCAGAGAGGATTTTCGAGCTGCACTTACGACGTTCATGACAGAGATGGGTTGTCAACCTCCATCTGATGACCAAGTCATACACACTCGAACACACTTGACTATCGCCTGCACATACGACGGGACGCACAGAGGCGCAAGCGTTCAGACGGCAAGAGTTTCACCACAGTTCCACGGGAGAGCCGTGCACAGCGATGTTGCAGTGAGAGGTGGCAATGACAACATATGGTATGCATCAGTAGCCATGTTTTTCGTCATGAACGCTTGCACAGGTGGTGTTGCAGAGATGCACAAGTGTTGTTTCGTGCAATGGTACAAAGAGGTGGATAGCGAAAGGGAACACACAACAGGTTGTAAGAAGTTGCAATGGGAGAAGGTGAACGGTCATCAGCACAGTAGCGTCATAACGATTGATACCATCATTGACACCGTTCACATTGTTCCTCGTTTTTGTAAACCACAGTGGGGCTCGAAGAAGCATGCAAAAGAGAGGGAGGGCAGTTTTTTGTTGAATAGATATGTACTCTAGAAGTGTACAGGGAATTACTCATTGTGAAAAAAACAAAAATTAAAAGGCTGATCGTTTTTCCGAAAACAATAAGTGGTGGGCGCAGTTGCAATGTTATACTACAGCATGCACTCAACTTTTGTTTTTCTTTTACAGAGAGAGAGAGAGAGAGAGAGAGAGAGAGAGAGAGAGAGAGAGAGAGAGAGAGAAGCGTTTGAACAACAATAGTCATTTGGTAAAGATGGAGTCCGAACATCGGTAGATTTTTCGAGCGCGGAGCCTGCATTTCAGACCACTGTTGCGTAGCTTCTGTGTCATCTTACACAGCAATGTAGAGAAAGGTGCATCAAACCAGTGTGTATGACGAAGGTAACTTCAGAGTTGACTACTGCTTGCACATGTATGGCGAACGTGGACTTAAAAAGTGGGAGGTGGCACGCACTAGTCAACCCATGTCTATACTTGCGAAGTTACTGACGAAATGTGGTTCATGACCATGTGACTGCCATGTGAACATGAAAGGTTGAGGTCGAGGTAACGCCACAATAACAATCTGCACTGGAAGAAATGGCAAGACAGCAAGCGGAAAAATAAGCGTATTGAGGAATTGTTGAGAAGCCGATTTAGACTGACACTGCCATCAGTTGTCACATCTGTTGTACGACGGAGAATAAGGGTTGTTCAGATGAGCCAGTTTGACAAAATCCACGGAGAGGTAGATGGCAACGGTTGTATCATGGGCTCCAAAGCGACGGACAGTTCAGAAACAGCAAGGAATGACGAACACTCATGTGGATCAAGTGTCACCGAACCGTTGCTCTCATTGAGCAGTGAGAGATCAATGAATCGATGGAAGAGGATACTGGAGGACCCTTGGTATGCGGAAATGTATCAGATGATGACCACAGATGACGCCCAATATCCTCAGATGGTGCATGAACCTTTGTTCAATATTGCAGGAGGCAATCGGTCGACGGGTATGGCTGCAGAGGCTGGAAAGAGACCCAAGAGGGTGGACGAGGAACACTTGTTCCCGTTCACGTGGAAATCAAGAAGACACGCTATATCGATAACAAAACGGGACGTATTGCGATTGGGTGTCAAGCAGTGGCTGAACGATAACGTGATCGATATGTACTTACAGTCCGTCTATGACGAACATTTTCCAGATGGAGACAATATGACACTTCATGTTTGCACATCTTTCTGGCACCCCGCAATTATCGCCAATCAGAAGGTTTATGTCGGGAAAGCGGAATGGCAGGGGCGGATCAAGAGTACATCGCCAAAGCTGCGTCGAATAAGCAATGAACTGCGAACAACAAGTGTTGTTCTCATCCCTGTGAATCACGAAAACCATTGGAAATTGCTCTTGCTACTGAATGTCGGCCAGTTTTTTGCAGTCACGGAGGACAACGATGGCCAGAAACGACCTGTTGCGATCGTCATCGATTCCTTTCAACAGAGCGGCCGACAGGAATGAAAGGCGTTACGCACATTTTTGTGGTATGAATACCTCAGCGAGGCAGACAAAGCAGGGGTGTTGACTCCCGACACAGTGGACACGTCGTGGGTGACATGGAGAGATCTACTTGGATCTAAGATAGTGTACGCTGAATGTTCGCAACAGACCAATACGTCGGACTATGGTGTTTACGTTTGTTGCATGGCAGCTTAATTGATGCGAAAGCTAGCAAAACTAAGTAAGCAAACGAACATTACCGCAAAATATATAACAGAAGTTGTTAGCGCGATGGAGGTAAACGACCAAATGGTCGACATATTTCTTCAGGCAATGGTACAGCGCTTTGCGCAGTGTGCTGTCAAGGCAAAAGGATATAACACCGCAGCAGCATGTGACATAGAAAATGATTTCAGAGATCTCATAGACGGAACACGGAGTGGATGTTCGTAAATACGAGGGCATGATAGAAACAGTGAGATCAGGAAACACGAAGTTGACAACCGCGTGCAAATATACAGAACTCACACGTCGTAGAGAAGCCAATCGGCACGCAGTAGGCAACTTCTGCGCTCAGTCGATGGATGAATGAGTGATGTAATTAAGAAAAAAATATCGTCTTTCGTGTCATAACGGCAAAAAAACTCTCTCCCTCTCTCTCTCTCTCTCTCTCTCTCTCTCTCTCTCTCTCTCTCTCCCTCCCTGCGTGTGAAAATCTCGCCTGGGATGGTGGATGACAAATGGTCGTTGTATAATATAAAATCATTCCATGTCTAACATGAGTGTTTGTGAATTCATGCATGTCAGAGGCTTTTAATAAGCGTGAAGAGAATGGCTCCGAAGCCAAGGTACGAGGATCTGTGCAAGACCTTGAAGTCCACAAGGGGGAGAGAGAAGGGGGAGAGGACAGCAAAGGAAGGCCAAAAGACTGTCAAGCAAAGACATACCATCAGGGATATTCCCCGATTCAAGAGACGGGAGACGAACATAGTCCGTAGAACAGAAGCTATGCTCTCTGTCCCGCTGAGGAAAAAGCAGAGTGGGAAATTGCTCGCACACAACAAGTTACCTGCTGCGACTCCCTTGCTGCGGAAGGGACACGACAACCTCGAGAGGCAGCCTCCGACAGCGCCACAGAAAAAAAGACGAGAAGAAAAAGCACAGAGTCAACAACTGAGGACAAAAAAAAGAATAATATACAGAAAAGATAGGAGTGCTGAAGCAATCGACCTCAGAGGGTCATACGATTTACGAACCACAGCTCAGGAGGAAGACGAAGAGGAAAACTGTGCGGAAGAAATGTCAGAAGAAGTAGAACACGAGAGAATGCAAGAACGAGGAGAAGGTGACAACAGTGACGGTCACCATGATGTCGATGCAGAGGAGAGCGATCCGGAGGGAGAAGAGGCAGAGGGAGAGGACAGATCCGAGGAGGGCGGAGAGGCAGAGGAAGGCAACAGTGAAGACGAAGAAAGAGAGATTACATCTGCTGAGAACATTGCACAATGCGGAACTGATGAGAAAAAGGGAGGCGCACCGGGGATTTCATCGAACGACAAACAAATTGTAGAGAAGGAGAATGTACCGGTACAGGGTAAGATGAAGGGCGCCTTATAAACACACCACTATTTATGCACAGCACAGTCGTTGTTGCATGCCGCAGAAACGACGAGGTTCACGGGGGGGAGGGGGGGAAGGGGAGGGGACCGTTGGGAGGGGGTCTTTATGAGAGGTGTTACGAAGTGTATTCGGAGGAGGGTATGGCAGGGGAGTTGACAGTCTTATGTTTGTTTGTGATTGCAACACATAGAACACGTATCGCGGAGGGTCTTCTTATTACTAAATAAATAATTTGTTGTTATTTTTGTATTTTTTCCCCAGATTGCACCAATTTGCGTAGGCGAAGCAGCACCGGTGGAGGCAATGCTGGCGAACCAACAGAGCAACAAACCGGGGGTTTTACAAAGAAAATGAAAGACAGACTGTTTCGTTCGGTGGCAAAGGCCTTTGCTTTTTCTGCAGCAAAGGATGCCACGTTGTACCCAACGGAGGACATTTTTTTCACGACACTGCAAACAACTGCGAAATCGATAGGAGAAGATGTGGAGGAAGGACTACGGTTGCACGTGGCAACGTACGGAATTCGAGCAGTGATCGGGGAATGCAATCGGATTATGACAACGGTCCGCGGCGAGATATCTTGGCAATTGAGACATTGGTTTTGGGCCGAAAAAGGTCTGTCGCTGGTCCGGTCGGCCCAAACGGACCACCAGCTTCCGACTCGCAACAGGATGCGGGCAGAGATGAAAGGGAACACAACATGGAGAAGGATCGACAATGATCCATGGGGCGCACCTCCTTTCAAGACGACACTAACAAAAGTTTTTCAAATGAGAAGGGATGGCATCAACCTCGGTGTAACGTTGCAGCAACTTGCATTTGCGGAACTGGTACTGAAAACTGAAGTCGAACAGACGACAAAGACCAGCAAGGCAGCGGACCAAATACGAAAACTTGCAACTATCAAGAAAGAGATTGCTGCGTCGCTCTGCTCCCGAGACACCGTTTTAAGCTTTTCTGTCTTCAAACTCGACCGTGCTGTTTCTGTTGCAAAGACGGCCGTCGCATTGTACACAGCCGGGTTGCCTGCTGTACGGAGGGGAGACGCCAATAACATGACTACAACAGATGATGATTTTGAACTTGAGTTCATTGCGCCCACCGACGACAAACGTGCGGGCGGAGAGAGAAACGAAGAAAGTTTGTGCGCAAGGCCGTGAAAAGGAGAAGAGGGGGTCCGGATGTAGATGGACGGGGGTTCGGGGTGGAATATAGGGAGTAGACAGTGGCAACGGTGTTGTAGGGGACATGAGATGCACCTCCACTCACAGTTAGTGGCATGACACCAAGCCAATGAGGACCAAAATGTAAAATATAAGAGAGAGAGAGAGAGAGAGAGAGAGAGAGAGAGAGAGAGAGAGAGAGAGGGATAGAGTTGTTATCCGAAAACAAAAGACTCTGGAGAACCCTTAGGGCTGAGTGTACTATAAGCAAACATGTTTTATTTAATGAATTGTTTTTGTACAAGTCCTGTCGTGGATGTGTTTCGACCATCACGTGGCATTTGCGTCTCGCATCTCACATTACTCACCATCAATTTATTGTTTACATGGTTGCTTGTCTTGCAAGGATACGCACTGCGTCATGTGTAATGTGGCCCAAAATATGTCAGCGTTTCATTATGCAAAAACACGAATCATTTGGTTCGTTTGCAGAAAACGCATTACAGACTCCCAAAAATGTTCAATATGATGTCTTAAAGCAGTATTGAGAAGACACTAGAAAACATGTTCATCTTAATACTGGGCGAGAAGTACATGAGTGGTTGACTACTGCGTGYSATGTTYTTGTCGTGCATGTGAGTGATGCTGGAAATTGGCACCCGGTAGCCAACCTGCGTTTCAATATCGTTTTGACACCCCTGTGGACATTTGCCTTTGCAGCTGCATTCAAGGTTCACATAAGCTACATAGACCCCCGAATAATATAAATAGGAACAGGGCAAGTTTTCTGCCATCATCAGTACGGGAGGGAGAATGACTCTCTCTCTCTCTCTCTCTCTCTCTCTCTCTCTCTCTCTCTCATACGCCATCTCTCTCTCTCTCTCTCTCTCTCTCTTTCTCTCTCTCTCTCTCTCTCNTCTCTCTCTCTCTCTCTCTCTCTCTCTCTCTCTCTCTCTCTCTCTCTCTCTCTCTCTCTCTCTCTCTCTCTCTCTCTCTCTCTCTCTTTCTCATATTATTTAAACAACATTTCAACAACATTTCATCACATTTAAACAACATTTCAACAACATTTGAACACATTTAAACAACTCGTAAACAACATTACAACAACTTATAAACAGCTTATCAACAACTTTTCATCAATTGAAAAAGTGTTTAACACAGTGTCACATGTTTATAACATATGTTATCAACATTGAGTTCCTTCACTTTTGGTGGAACACATGACACTACCTCCGGAAAACTATTTATTAACACGAAACCAACAGTTTAAAAAGGGTGCCCGCATATGATAAACCGCCAAAAAAAAAAACCACAATTTTTCTGTTGTATGGCTAGGCCGCCCCAACTTATGGGAACGCCCAGTCTCATGCCGTTGTCCTCCTCAGAAGAAAACACACACAAAATTGGGTCCACGCAACTAAGAATATCCCATTCCCATTTTCAACAACGCAAAAGAAACATCATGAATCTGAGTCTTCCTAACTTAGGGCGGCCGTCCTCCTGTTCAGAAACCCCAAAAGAAACAAGTGGTTGGGCCGTCCGACTTAGTATAGGCCCAACCCTCAAAGGTCACACATTCAGCCTAGTAGACAAAAATAAAATATAGCACTGAAGCCACTCAACTTAGAGGGATTCAGCCTTGGGTTGACCCGGTCAAACACAAACAGAGTACCTTCATCCCGCCTTCCCTAATTTATTTTGTCTGAATTCACATAAATAATATGAAATTATCATACATACTTGTCGATTTTACCTTTCAGATCATGTCCTAATTCAAAACAAACAAAAACAACTAGCTTTCTCAGTCATGCTTGCAGACACAAAATAGCACAGGATAGTAACGTTTAGGGGATGGGGTCACACGTGTAAAACGATGATTATACTTCAATGTTCCCTGCCTCCAGAACCCCGCCTGGGCTCCGACATAACTCCCGCAATCGGTGGGCTGACTCCCCACACAGTCTGGATGCGGTCCTACGGGTTGCAATCCCGCCTGCCGTCTTCCTCTCGTAACCTCAAACTAGACTTAGAGTAAGAAGGGCAGAAGGAGGGGTTTCAGACACTCGAGATACAGGAGAGGGACATACTCAACTCGCAGGAGAGGGTCTTGAAATCTTGAATCACTTGAGGATCTCGCAATGATGGCCGAAAAAAAGATGCAGCAAGGATGATTGCAGTCCTCTAACAATCTTCAAGTCGTAGTAATATTTTTTTCATAGCCTCTGGTTCCCCCTTTTCACAACATCGTATTGTTATCTCAAGCCGAACTGCTACTACATGGTCTAGAAAGTCCGTGTTCGAATAGAGAACATCATTATACT